GGCAATTCAGAGAAACGGCAAAATCTAGATTTGATAAGTAACTAAAGATAATCAGAAATTCAATCTCCTAAAAGTAGGACTTTTGAGACCTAAAGTCTCTTAGCGGGTTGTGGTGTTTTCTCTCCCGTTAGTTCTAATGCTAGGCCTTCCCCTGTTTATTTACATTCCCCGGCAATGATTCCTTTGGTTAATGGTTTACCTCAAACTTCTTCTACCCCAAAGTCTCAGGGTGATACTTCTTTTATTAATGTTCCTATCATTGTGATGTCTAATGATGATTTAATGACTCATACGGCTGAGTTTAGGAATAACTCTGTTTGTCTGCAAACGGATTGGTTAATTTTGGATGATTTTTCTTCTTCGCTTTTTGAGAGGGAGGATGTGGAATTTGAAGAAGAGGTTGTGGCTTCTCGTATAGTGGAGAAATCTTGTTCCAATGTTGCGGGTAAAAAGGGCATAAGTAAAGGCAAAAAGTAATAGCCTTGCGCTCTCCTTTTACTGTTTTGACTGTGGCTTTTGGAGTGCTTTTTGAACGAAGATGATGAAGCCCCCAGCTTCCTTCTTGTTGGCTGGCCTGATTGGCAACCTGGGTGCTTTGGCTCGGTGTTCGTAACTTAAGACTGTGTTGGTCTTTTGTAGCTGCTTACCATGGATGGTCCCTGGCTGGCCCGGAGTTGGTGCTGGGGAATTCTCCTGAGTCTATTTGTTTCTTTCGCATCGCTGGTTGTTTTTCGTATTGGCTGTCTTTTTGAGGTTTTGTTGTGGGTTGTTTGCTCTACGTCTTATTCCCCTTTTTTTTGGAATAAAATGTGTTATTTTGTTGAACAAAAAATGTCTCTTCGAAAAGACAGAGTTATTTCTATATGGTTGTAATTTTGATCCAAAATCCTTTGAATTCATTTCTAGGTAAAGTCTTATAACTTTTAACCGTGTAATCTTCATAATTTCCCACTTCATACTATAAAATATAAATTTAATCCAAATCAACCAGGAATGCTATTCAAAATACTGTTAAAGCTGTAGCTGTCCGAGTGGTAACATTAAAAACAAAAGCTTATTCTTCAATGTTCTTATTACTGTAAGAGTTCTACATTAGTATTAAAATTTTCCTCTTTGTTTCCTCGAAGTAAAATGTTTTTGACCTTGTTTTAAATTATCTGTTTAATTTATACTTCGCATTGCATTTTGCTATTTGAAGATAGCTTTATTTTCTGCAAATTGCTCCTTATAATGTACTTCATTGTATGGTTTATGTTGTAATAACATTTTAATGCACTTCTAATGCTAAATTAAATTTCCACAAACTGTTTGTGCTTACAATTTAGAGATTGCACCCTTCTAAATAACAATTATTTACGGAGATTTGTTAATATAATCCCAATTTCGTTAAAGTTATTAAACCTAATTGATTTGTTTTGCAAAAATTATGCAACGATCAAATTTCTTCAGACTGACTGGTTGACGGGTTAATGGAAAATAGTCGTGCTCTTTGAGATTTGTTTAGTCGTATAAATGAAAGGTAATTAAGAGATAGTTTTATAAATATATATAGATTTTGGGTGTTAATTAGAAGTATTTTATAAATAAATCTAGGGCAATACAGGGAATACTTATGTTGTGGCTCCTTTTGAGCCGCCTAAAAGTGCCTTTTGTGTTGGAATGAATGATAATGTGATTGAAAATCCTTGTGGTACTTTCCTTATAGGTAGCCCCTCCTGTGTGGAAGCTGTGCCGGATGTGGGTGTTTTGTTGGATAATAATGTGATTTCGGGGGATGTTGTCGTTCCCTCTAGTGATGATCATTGTGACATTGTTTCTGCGACTGTTGTTGTTCCTTATGTCTGTTTAGAGGGTGGGGGTTCTTTACCTGGTTTTAATGATAGGGGTGGTGCTATCCTGACTGTTGGTGGTGTTAGGACTGCTCATAGTATTATGTCGACTGATGATTTTCGTAATAATGCTCCTTTTTGGCCTCTTTCTGATGGTGATGATCTTTTATCTAATAGTTTTAATAAGCCGTATTTTAATGTTCCTATATCTGTTATTTCCAAGGATGATTTGCAATCTCGCCTATCGAGGGATAGTGAGGTTTTGCATGGTGATTGGTTACATGTTCACAATTCCTCAGATGGTGATGAAGGTTTCTTTGAGGGTGACTTGGATTTAAGTATCCTCCATATTGATGGTGCTGAGCCTAGCTTTAGGCATAGTAAACGAGCTCGTAAATCCAAAAAGATATGATTTCTTTTTATTTTTACCTTGCTATGGACGATGATGATGCAGTTTTCATGCTTGCTCCTCGGACAGCCATGGTTTGATTGCAACCTGGGTGAATTTTGTGCTATGACCGCCTCTTTTTACTTACTGGATGGCACTTGCCTGGCAACCAGATGGCTGTCTGAGTCCATTTAATTTTCGGATTCTCCTTTCGTTGTCTTGCTCAGGTTGTCTGGCCTGACGCTTACAGTTATGTACTCTAACTGTCTTTTTCTTATTTTTGGCTCCTTTTGTGTTTGGGCCTATCTTGTACTATTTTCTTTATTTAATGAAATATCTTTTTGAAGTTAAAAAATAAATAAATAACAACAACAACATTATATTTCTTGTCATAAATTAATATTTGCACTAGGCGTGTCAAAAAATTGACCTGATCCATTAATCTGACGTGAAAAATACGAATTCAGGTTAATTTTGGATTTCATGATCATTGATGATTGTGACTTTTATTCATTATAGAATGTTCTATCATAACTTGAAAAATATTTCGATCAAGATCTGAGCACAATTAATTTGATCAATGCTTGAACATCATTCAAATAATTTGTAACAAGGTTAATCAAGATTTGATTTGTAAAGAGTATCATACTCTATGACATACCAAAATCTAATGTGAAAAATACCAACATCTGCAATAGTTGTTCATATGCAATTAGAAGTTCATATGCAATTAGAATGTTGTGCGTGCGCGTGTGTGTGTGTTTTTTTTTTTCAAATTTTTATACACTACATAAGTATGTTATGTTACATGCTAATTTATAAAGTGCTTTTAAGTATCCTTTGAATATGTGATGTTAACTTGAGACATTTGTGTTTTTATCTATATTTAAGAAATATGATTGTGTTGATGACTGACTAAACTTGGCTTTAAGAAAAAGTTAGTTGAAAATTAAGCTTTATTTTTGTGAAAAGATGTATATGGAAGTATAATATAACTCTATACTAGGTATCGGGTAATTAATTTAATCTCAAAATATGCTCATCATGCTTTAGTTGGTTAGATTACACCAAGATAACATTCTTGGATGAGAAAAAAATTTAGTTTTTCATATATTATGATCAAAAGACTTTCTAAATTGTGAATGCAGGATGAGATTTTCAATTAATTTTCTATCACATTTATTTTCTTTTCAACTTCAGAGAGTTTCTTTATTCTTAATTACCTGCTTACATATATATATATTGCTCTCGTTTCTTTTAAACAAAGTTAAAAATATATAACTTTTCAATAATATAATTCATAAATAAAATTATTAATTCTCTGCCAACAGACTTAAATATTAACATTCTTCCTTCCTCTATAACCAAATATGATGAATGACACTTCCAACCTATTTTCTCACGATTTTATGTAATATATATGCTATATGCGGTTAAAATAACAAATACATCTGTTGATAAATTCCCTTGTAAAATTTCTAACAATTATCTCTTAGGTGCCAACATTAACTCTTACAATGGAAGATTTTCAACTAAGAATTAGTGTTAAGTTTTTCTGGCAGAAAAATTATTCATTGCGATTTAGTTGTTTCTACTGGCTTGTTTTTATGGGATGCACCCACCACTGTTTGTCTTGGTGGTGAAAAGCTGGTTGGGCAAAGTCCAGGTCCTTGGTTCGAATCCCTTGGCAAGCAGTGAAAATCTTAAGTGTTGGCCCGTGTAAATTGATGTGAGTTGCATGCTAGGTAGACCGGGATTTACACTGACATAAGGACAGTACTTCCTCGTCACAAAAAAAAAAAAAAAATTTATGGGATGCCTCAAAATTATAGATGCCCTAGTTTCTTGTAATATATTTTTTAATTTATTTTTAATTTATTAATTAATTTATTTATTTTTAATTTTTAGGTGCACGCAAATTTATAATAATTTTAATAAATGCGCCATATATTTGGTGACTTATTTGTTTCTCAAATTTAAATTATTATGTGTACGGTTTACCTTATTCACACTATTCGTCATGCTATTCTTACCAAGGTTAAATTCTGGAAGCGATTTGATGATCTTAACAGACGTTTTGCTATTCTCGTATAATATCTGCTTACCGTATTCTAGTTGGGTCGGTTTCTCTTTACCTCTCATCATCTGGGTGATGTTCTGGAGGGTGATTTTCTACAAATTATGCGTGGTTGAGTTGATTCATTACAGTATATGGATGTTTTGGTTATGTTGTTGCCCGTGGACTGATATTTCTACTGCACCCGTTAACTATACATTTTTTCTGGGGAGCCTGCTACTTAGTGACACTATTGGGTTACATGGCTGTTATGAGGGTTCTTTCCCCTTTGGCCCCACTAAGTTGACGATTCTGCTGCTGGTGTTTGCTTCTACCTTTTGGAGGTGCCTGTATTTTGCTCTTTACACAGGTAGCCTGGGAAGATTAATTTTTGAAAGGACGATGATGAATGCTGATTCTTCAGCTACCCCTTGGACGGTCACTCTGGCAACCAGGGGTTTTTGTCCTGCCCAGTCCCTTCTCAAAGCCGTTCAATTACGTTATTGGCAGGACAGCCTGAGTCCTTTATGGCTTCAAGCCAATTTTGTTATTTTTACTGTTATGTATTTTTCCTTTTAGAACTCCTTAACTTTTTTTTTTTAGTTAGGGAGTTATAATTTTAGTTCTTACTTTACTTGTAACTTTTTTATTAATGAAAGGGCTAAGCCCCAAATTTTCCCAAAAAAAAAAAAAATTCGCAGCTAATCCTAAAAATTTAGCCTATATAACGCCGTGGTTGAAAGCTGATTTCATATCTTGAAGACGACCCTTCGTCATAATGGATGTCCAGGGAACTATCGTCTTCTCAACCGTCGGATTGCTCACCTACGGCTTCGATGTCTTTTCCACTGTCCTCGCCGCCGATCACTTCGCCGACGGAGACTTAACAGAAAGCCGCCGCACCGACGGCGTTTCCGTCAATTTCAACGCTCAGTTCGCCGATAAGACCGGCGAAACTGTTGTCTTCGTCTCCGAGCGAACCGGCTCCGCTAGACTCTATCAGACATCCTCGGCCGGAGACGAAATCAAACTGCTCCCGACAAACCAAAACAGCCTATTCCACGACCGGCCCACCATTAAGAACGGCCGCGTGTTCTACGTCTCCGCCCACGAGCCCCCGTCAGATTCTTTCAAGAGTTGGGCCGCAGTCTACATGACCCGGCTCGACACAGAGGAGACTGTCCGGTTAACCCCAGCTGGATCTGTCGACTTCAGCCCAGCGGTTTCGGAGTCGGGCCAGCTCGTCGCCGTAGCATCCTATGGGTCTCGGCCATGGAAAGGTGATTTCCACGCTCTCGAAACCGAGATCACCATCTTTAGTGTCTCAGAACCGGAAAACCGGACCATCGTTGCCGGCAGCGGCGGATGGCCGACTTTTTCCGGTGAATCAACAATTTTTTTCCACCGTAAGGCCGACGACGGCTGGTGGAGCGTCTACCGCATCGATCTACAGGAAAATTTCGAAGAAAACATAGCTCGTCGTATTACCCCGCCTGGGCTGCACGCCTTCACGCCCGCTGCATCGAACGATGGGAAGTATATAGCGGTTGCCACGCGCAGGAAGGGGATTAAATTCCGCCACATTGAGATTTTCGATCTAAAATCAGAACGATTCTATCCGATTACAGAGACATTAAACCCTACTACCCATCACTACAATCCATTTTTTTCACCGGACTCGAATCAGCTCGGATACCATCGATTCAGAGGAGAATCGAATGAAAAGATACCGAATCTCCTTCCCGTGGCTTCTCCAATTCAAGGGCTCCAGCTTCTTCGGCTTCACGGCACATTCCCATCTTTTTCCCCTGCCGGCGATCTACTCGCAATGAACGGTGACTTCTTTGAATCCCCTGGCCTGATGGTACTCCGATCGGACGGTTCGAAACGGTGGACTCTGCTTAAATCGCCCACTGCGTTCTACACGGCATGGAGCCCTGTTGAGAAGGGCGTTATCTTCACCTCTATCGGCCCGATCTTTGATTCCAGCAAGGCCACGGTCCAGATTGCCCGGATCTCATTTAATCCCGACGATCTTGACGACAAAAAGGATGAAATCTATGCCGATGTGAAGATCCTTACCCGCGGAGGTACCGCCAACAATGCATTCCCATCGTGCTCACCGGACGGGAAGCACGTTGTTTTTCGATCTGGGCGATCCGGCCACAAGAACCTCTACATCCTCGATGCCATCGATGGAGAAATTGCCGATAGTAGCGGGATTCAGCGACTAACGGAGGGTGAGTGGGTCGATACGATGCCAGCGTGGTCGCCGGACGGCGAGCTGATCGCGTTCTCATCTAACCGGCACAGTCCGGCTAATCCGGAGGCTTACAGCATATATTTGGTTCGACCTGACGGCTCGAACCTGCGACGGCTACACTTTGCCGGGCCACCGGGGTCGAATGAGGCCGACAGGGAGAGAATCAACCATGTCTGCTTCAGTCCGGACTCGAAGTGGCTCCTCTTCACGGCGAACCTTGGTAGCGTTTCGGCCGAGACGGTGTCGATGCCGAACCACTTCCAACCCTATGGTGACCTGTGGGTTTGTCGCATAGATGGAACCGGCTTAACACGCCTTACGTGTAATGCTTTTGAGAATGGCACGCCAGCTTGGCACGCTGCTGATAGGCTCCAGGACATTGGGTTGATTTCCGTGGTCCCTGCCTCGGGTGAGACCCTGAGGGGTCAATTTGAGGAGCCTCTATGGCTAACGTGTGATATATAATATTTTTATCGCATCCTAATGCATCAATGATTTTGTTGGTTGGCTAAAAAAAAAAATGTGTAAAATAATATTTTTGACTTATTTGGATAAATATAAAAATAGCTTCAATGCTATCTTGACTGATAAAAATTTAGCCTTAAGAAATTCTACCAATAATAAGTATATTGAGATAAAGTAAAAGATCAAAATTATTTGCTTGGAAATTGACAGAGATACTCCCATCATACACGAATTTTTATTACGTCCGGTGAAAATACCATATCGAGTGTACCGAGGGCGCTGTATCGAGCACGATACCGAGCACTTTAGTGACATGGCGTTTTGTTATTGGTTTCCAGATGCATTCGATAACCTGACGAAATAATCACTCATCATACACAGGCACAAGGAGCCCATAGTTGCTAATCATTAGCATTTAATTTAATTTCTAAGTGGAGGAGCAACTAGAAAGATTTTATCTTTGTTTAGTTTCTCTTTATTTATTTTTAATAATACGGCATAATCACACAACAAATAAAATAACATGATGTTTTGTGAAAATTATTAAGAACACATAAGGAAAGCATTCCATCGCACATACATGAAAATATCTATTACACAACACACGAGGACAATACAGAAGGAAACATTCTAACGATCATTGTAGGATTAGTTATTAAACCACTTTAAACAATTGCAAGCCGTTAATGTTGTATAACAACTAATAAAATTATCACCATCAAATTGTACTCTACATTGGGTTCTGAATAGATCTTGGATGCATACACCAAAAAGCATTTGAATATCCTCACATCTCGAATCTAGCAAATTTCGTGTCATTTGTTCATCATCAAATTGAAGCAAAAGATATCATCATGAACAAATATGCATGCCTGAGGAAATCCTAGTTAACATATGAATTCATCTTCATCAAAGAGAAGCAAAAGTTTATATGTTGGCATTTTTTTCTCAATGAAAAGGACTATCTATCAAATACATCACAAGCATGGAATATTACCAAATTTTATGATATTTATAAGGATGGAAGAATGAAATGAATCTAACAGAGAATGTGCATTTCTATTTAAAATCCTTCGATTGATGATTGATACGCCATCAAAAAATTATCTTGATCGGGCACGAATCTCGATGCAAAATAAAGTTGGAAACTTTCGTAATTAAAATTGGGACCATCCGAACTCCGATTTAAGCAAACTTACAGGCAAACTAAAAGTCTTAAGAATACAAACCCAATGACACCAAATCCAACTCAATCCGAGCCCAAATGGGTCCAAATCAAGGGTTATAAGCGCTTTTGGAAGGTTTGAACCACAATTTGGATTACCAAACGGCTTCCAAACGTAACTTGCTTATAGTCGAATCGAGCAGCTCGACAAGAAGAATCCAACGAGCCCAAGATCACCAAATTCCGACATCACTAATACATTCAAAAATCAATCAAAACAATCCATAATCAATGGATTCAACATTGGCCGTCCATCCAACCACTCTCCATTTGCCCTTGATCTCCCACATATTTATGGGCCATGCTATTCCAAAAATCTATAAATAGAGCCCCCTTTTCTCTTGAAAAGGGACCCAAGCCAAAGGATTTAAGAGAGAGATCGGAGATCGCTCTTGCCTCCTTGCTCCTCGACCACCGACGGACTTCCACCGGACCACCGCCGGACCATCGTCTGACGTTGTTGCTTCGCCGGACCACCACTTGAGGCTTTCACCTCCACCGGACCACCACTTGAGACCCTCACCTCTACTGAACCATCGCCTGCTGTCGTTGCTCTGACGGACCATCACTTGAGGCCCTCACCTCCGTCGGACCACCACTTGAGGCCCTCACCTCCACCGGACCACTGCCTGACGTCGTTGCTCTGCCAAACTACCACTTGAATCTCTCACCTCCGCCGGACCGCCGCCTGAGGCCTTTGAGTTCCGCTGGACCACCACCTGAGGCCCGAACTTTCATAAGATCATCACTTAAGGCCCGAAGTTCTGCCAGACCAAAACTTAAGGCCTGAAGGTCTACGAGATCACCACCTGAGGCCCGGACTTCCATCAGACCAGCACCTGAGGCCCGGAGTTCCCCCGGACCACCAACTAACGCCCGAATTTTCAAGTAGCACCAGACTGTTGTCAGTCCACCAAGTGACGCTGTACTTTCATCCCCATTTGTCACTAGATTTCTACCAAATTGTTAACATTTGTAATCGGATCGCCCTTAGGGATGAGTCAGCTTATTATAATATACCCAAACACTAGTGAAATCATTTTAGACTTGGCCTGGCCCCGTGGTTTTTTCCCTTTTCAGGTTTTCCACATAAAAGCGACTTGTGTTATCTGTATGTGAGATGAATATCGCACAACGCTAAGACACATTATTTTAACTCTATCGTCACGTATATTCTAGCCCGCAACAATGATCTTATAATTGTGTTGTTAATCTCGTTATATTAGTATTGATTCATCTATTGAATATTTCATGGTTGATAAACTTTCTAAAGCATGGCTCATTGAGACTTCCTATTGTTCAATTTATTCATTAATACGTTAAAAGATTCAACTTTCCTATAAGTTGAATCTTCTAATGTTCTTAATTTTTTCTCCTTCACAAGAACAATACATTTTTTTAATGTAAAGGTAATACTATAAAAAAAATTAAAACCGCCAAAGTTGTTCCCAAGTCCAGATGAAAAAGGTTGAAGGTAAGATGAGTTATCAAAATAGCTGGATTTAAAATTCTTTAAATTTTTTTTTGTAGATTTTAAGCTGAATTTCCATAAATCATTCCTAAAATATGATACCAAAAGACCATATATATTTTGGTTTAATTTGTACGTTTATTGATTTGAGATATTATTTATTGGCATTATGTGCAGGGCAGAGCTAACCAACTGAAATGGAGAATAGTAGTGATAACTTTTATTTTTTTTTAAATGCAACTAATGCTATTCTTCTTAGCATGTCATCTTTTAGCAACAAATTACTTTCAACTTCTTAATACCATATGATAATATAAATTTAATGAAATGAAGGTAATCTCAGTCCACCTTGCGTTGGGATATGTTTTGTGTTGAGGAACTATAGTAAGCCAAACTTTACCATTTTTAACCATCATCCCTTATCTTCCAATTTGCAATCTAACTACTATTACACCACCATTCTTGCTATGACAAACTTTAAGCTTTTTCATATTCCCAACTAGGCATTTGTTTACCTTTTTTTTTTTTTTTCTTTTGAGCATTATTTTCTTTTGCGTCATTTTCAAGTGCTTCTAAGTGGCAACTTGATTTGCATGTTGCACTGCTTATATGATCATACTTCTTGTCTACTCACTATGAGATGTTTGATCAAAGCATATTTGTGCTTGCAAATGAATATTAAAGAAGATCAACTGAGATATTTCTTCTATATATGGAAAATATTTTTATCAATGTTTCTTTTAGATAAAAAGGCTTTCTAAGGAAATCAAATGATGACATCATATAAATCATCAGGTTTTAGTGTCCTTCTTAAAGAGTAGGGTGTGAAAGGTTTCTTCAAGGGTTGAGCATCGACTCTGCTTGGTTATAGTGGTAAACGTGCATTTAATTATAGTTTTTATGAGTTCTTTAAGAAATACTACTCTAACATTGTTGGATGATTTGAGTATGTTGTGAAAATTGAAATACAAGACTTTGATTTATCTTGCTTGCTTTTTCTTATTTTGTCCGATGAAGGCTTTGAAGGTTCGCATTCAAACTCAACAAGGCTTTGCAAGAGGGTTAAGTGATGGGTTATCTAAGATTGTCAAATCCAAAGGGGATCTCAGGCATATCTTCAAAGATGTGAAATTCAAGCTAAATGTGATCCAATGCATTGATGAAACTTAAATAATTTTTTATTTATATTAATTTTTACTTATTTATGAAATTTGAGAGCATATTATTTGCTAACATAACATTTTTAGATGACAGCATAAATTCAAAATATTTAATTTGCCTCTGCATGTGTGAATCAATCTCAAAGTTTGACAAAAATGAACCTTATAAGTATAAAATTGATCAACTCTCACTTTTTATTTGTATAAAGCTTGACATTAAGTTTCTCTTTCAATAAAATATTGCATTAATTATACGTTATGCTTCATATAATATTTGTGTGAAATCTCATGTTATAATTTGAAAGTCAATATAGCTCTCATGTTATAATTTGCATTCTGGTTTCTAACTTGCTCTATGTCCATACAATTTCTTGCGCAAACTATTTTCACATGATTTTGATTTAACTTCTTTTGCTTTACAGAAACTAATTTCATTTTTTTTTTTTTGACATAGCATTTTGACTGTTTTTTTTAACAATGCAGAAACAATTGCAAGCTCTGCTTGAAACTTTGATGGAAGGTGTGTTTTATTTTTCTAAATTGCATTTGCTTGGAGATCATGATCTCCTATGAGTTGATCATGGTTATCTTTGTTATGTAATTGTAGTTGTGATGAGATTATTGTCTCAAAGAGGCTGCTTGAGAAGATTGTACTTGAGGATTATCATGTAACTATGATTAAATTAAATGATTTAACATCAAGAAGCTGTTCAGTTAATTGCTTTATTAGAAACATTTAAGATAAATTCATTGCCAGATTTTTTTTTTTTTTAATAACAACAGAAGTATTCGGTGTGATGATGCAGATGCAATTAAGCTTCTTGGATTAGCTATGTGGTGTATGCAAAGTGATATTAAAATAAGACCGACCATGTCAATATTGTTGAAAGTTTTATAATGTTTGGAAGATTTGGAATCTACATAGATTATGACAGCTTTGAAACTCATCAAAACATTCCAGATGAGTAAGAACAACTAAAGCTCTTCTTAATTTGAGAATATTATAGCAGAACATACACAATCATATGATATCAATACAATGTTGACTAGAACCGATTTTTTTTTTTTTTTTTGGGCCAGCCGGCTTGGGGAATCGAACGGGAGCCGCGCGAGGCAACCGCACTGCGCTCAACCACGGAGCTGCACCGCGCCTCCCGCTAGAACCGATTATTGACATAGGTTGCCTAAGAAATTAGTACACAAAGAACCGTTTAGAAACCAACGGATAAACCAAAGCAAGATGGATGTACAGTACTACTCTTGGGGGTCTTTCTCCATCGACTGTAAGTATTTATTTTTAATTGAATTTTGTTATTTATTTCTCCTTTTGATATTTGCTCATTGAAAGATATGATTAAATTTGTGCTAAATGCTACATGTAATCTAATTTACCTTAATTCAAATATAATAGAAGTATAAATCATCTATATTGATACAAATATTGTATTTAATATTGACATACAATTTAATATCTTTGATATAGCATATCATATATTATTTTTTATTTTGTTTTATATATATATTAATTTTAGTTGCATGCATCACATATGTACGTGTATTTATACTAGAATATGAATTTCACGACCCGTTAGCGTTGTACAATAACTAATAAAATCATCACCATCAAATTATTTTCATGGAAAGTTTTTAGCATGATAAGCATAACAATTTAAATAATGTCATAAAATTTATAAATTATTTTCATGGAGTGATTTTATAATATAAAATTTGTCATACTATTATGCGGTTTTGAAAGGCTGCAAATTCAATTAATTTTGTTGTAAAATTATTGCAATAAATAAATAAATTCTTGAAACTTGAAAGTTATTTTTATTATCATAATTTTTTCTTATAAAAAAATAAGATTTATTATATATTTATATGATTATGAAAATTAAATTTTTATTGTAAAATATTTAAAAAAATAAGAATTTTATGCTCAAATAAAAGTTTCGGGCGAATTGTAAAATTAAAATTATCTTAATTAAATGTATCCATAAATAATGGTAATTTTATTTTAATGTAATAAACATTGATTTTAATTTCTCATAAATTTGAAAAACATGGGGTTAATTTTTTATATATATCATTTGGATAAGAAGGAATATATATACAGCACGACAGTAAAGGATCGGTATTGATCAATTAAACTTCAGAATCGGTGGAATAAAAAAATGGATAGAATTAGTAGCCTTCAATGGAAAAATATTTTCAGATAATATTTTTTTTTACTTGCTTAGTATTTTGCTGTGGGACCCAAAATAGTTTTAGGGTTTAAAGAATAAGAGGTTCATGCTTTACCTGAAATGAGGGGAAATATGAACTAACAGTTATTGCACTACAATAATGAGGAATTATAGAAGATCTTGATACAATATATGAAATCCTAACAAAATAAATAGGGCAATTCAGAGAAACGGCAAAATCTATAGTTGATAAATAACTAAGGCTTCCTTTGGGACAATTTTTATATTGCTTTCTAAAACGAATTTTTAGTATTAAATTTTCTAATTCAAGAAAATTTTGTACAAAAAAGTTGTTTTAAAAGGCAACAAAAAAACTACCGCAAACGAAGCCAAAATAATCTCCTAAAAGTAAGAATTGTGAGACCTAATGCCATTATTTCACTTTATGGACCTGCCTAGACTAAACAAAAAAAAAGGACCTGTCTATGCTAAGGCCAATTCTGAAGTTTGGCGTTTGTAGTTCAATGATGATAAGTGTTAGTGTTTTCTTCTATCAAGAGATAAAGTATATGATATGCTCAGCTGGTCCAACATGTGGGCCGGCTCCTGCAATACAGCAGGTGCAAGTTGCTTAAGGGTTGTTTAGTCATTTGTTGTTAATTTTGTGTTTGCTTTAAGTAGGAGTTTGTATTTGGGTTAGGGCATATTTTTTATGGCTAATTATGAGTTCTCTATGATGTCTTAGGTTCTAGCACTGTCTAGAGAGTTTTGGAGAGATTGATCCTCCTCTAGAATAGAGGAGAGTTTGTATCTTGCTATTTCTTTTCATATCCTAGCAATCAAAAGTTCTTTTTTTTTTTCATCAATAAAAACCTATAAATCTGATTGGTTAATATGCTAAAATTTTGATTTTAGCAATTATGTCATATTTTTCCTATTGTTTATTATCAGTAAACCCCTTTGAAACTTTGAATATGGCGGTTCATGCTGTGACACGGTGATTTAGGACATTCTTGCCTCCCGCCCGCAAGAAGTCACGTTTGAGTCACTCAACCTTAAATAAAAAACTTTCAATACCATAAATCTAAATCCTTGATGATTTAGGGGCGGATCTACCTAATGCTGGGGGAGGGGATAGATGTGTTATTGTTCGGGAGCGATTAACCAAATACAAAGATAAATAGTAAAGTTAATCAAAAAATATCCTGACAGGTCGAATAGCCACAGGAGGGAGCTACCCCCTTGGACCCCTAACATATATGTAAAATTTCTACACTTTTACTTATAAATTTGCCCCGTCTGGAAATTAAGGATGGTTCCACTCATGTTGATGAATCAAACTTATAAGTAGGCTTATCAGATCAATTCTAAGCAAATTTATGAATAAAACTAAAAAATGCTACAAACTGGTGAACATAGGCCACCGCCTTTGTGGTTAAAATTTTTGTCTCCACAAGAATAACAAAAATATTACAAACGACTAATAGATCAAATATTTATAAGGATTGCAGGATCTGAAGAAATTTATTTATAGTTAGATGAAAATTTTGAAGACGAAAACTCTTTGAGGTGATATGACACGATAGATGTATTACCGCTAAGAAGAACCTTTGAAAGACTAGTCGGGTAGTTAAGAGTGACAATGACTACGGCTTGCCTAAACTATATGCCACATGCAACTTGAATGTCATGAGACTCGAGAGAGGTTCAGGGTTGATCAAGGACCTTAGATAAAACCAATTTAAATTGTTCATGGTTCAAATATTTTTTTTTGTTTTGAAAATTTTGATGGCATTAAATTTATCATAATTAGTTAGTTAATTGAGAATAAATTTATAAAATTCTAAACCATTAGATCTTTAAAATAATTATTGAAAAATATTTATTTACTTTCTTATTTGGGATTAATAAGTTATATTATAGTTTATGAAATGTTAGATAAATATTTTTTAATAATGATATTGTATTGATATTATGTCGTTAATGATTGACTTAGCTAGTTCACAAAAAAAATATACATATTAGTTTAAGGGGCTGTTTAGTGTTTAGTCTGAAATAAAATTATATAAAATATTTTATATGTAGGAGTTTTAAAAATTTTAAAATCTGATCTGAAGCAAAAAAGAAATGCAAAGTAAAACTTTGATAAATTTTAAATCTATTATATATTGACTCATTTTTATATATTCAAACCTCAATAATTTTTTTTAATTATAAATCAGAACAATAAAATATATGTTGGAAATATATAATTTGGAGAAACATTCTTCTTGAACCACTAAAATGACATTTTTACCCTTCATCTCTAACAATCTGTAAAAAAATAAAAGAAATGGAAAATAATTGTAAAGCTTAAGGCAAAATGATAGCAAAGGTTATTAAGGTTTTGTTTTGAAAAACTTTTTTACTATTTTTTGAAATAGTTTTATAGTACAAAAAATTTTAATCCTATAAAATATTTGTACTAAAAACCATTTTAAAAAATAATAAAAAATCATCTCAAACAAAACCTAAAGATAATAAAGATTAAGGCTTCATTTTGGACGATTTTTTTTCTGCTTCTTAAATCAACTTTTTAATATAAAAATTAAAAATTTGATACTAAAAAACTGCTTTATAATTAGTAAGAAATCCCTCTTAACGAAGCCTAAGAAAGGAATCTGAAAGCATGCCCCAATATTATTTAAAAATTACATCAAACATCACCTCATAACATTTTAAGTTTTATTACACATAATTCATTTCATATCACATACAGACAAAATAACAAATTATAAACACAATCCGAAACTAACTTACCAATAGGAACTTTTATTTGGTCCGGTGAACGGACGTAAAACTACGTTCGGCCGGCACTGAGTCGCTCCACCTAGCATGCACAAAATCACGTAATTGTCGATTTTGCTCGGCAATAACGAGAAATATCATTATGTGAAGACAAATACCGAGCAATACCGAGTAATACTGAACAATACAGAGCAATACCGAGTTTTTTTTACAAAAACTCGGTATTACTCGATATTGCTTGGTATTACTCGGTATTGGTCTTCACAAAGCAGTATTTCTCGTTATTGCCAAGCAATACCTAGCAATACCGATCAAATACTGAGCAAATACCGAGTAACTCAATGGTGACCGATGTAGAGCTACGTCCGGTCACCGGACGTAATAATTGTTCCACCAATATACGCACATTAGAAATTAAAAATAGCTAAAAAATATATAATCCAAATTTTAATTAGGATGAGTCCCAAAAATATTAAATATTTTTGAGATAAAGATAATAATGTTTAATTTATTACATTTATCTCAAAATTTTAATAATTTTGAAATTTATCTTAATTAAAATTTAATTGGAAAAAAAAAATCAACCAAAAAATTACGATTGACCGACATGTGATTCCACTTGCTCCCCGAACTCCTTCACGTTGCCCTGCTTCCCCCCCTCAAACCTCCCCAACCCAAAAACCCTCATGTCCAACCCTATCCTCGCCGCCGTCCGTACCTCGCCGTCAAACACCATTTCCGCCACCATCTTCCCCACCAACGGCCCCATCTTAAACCCATGACCCGAAAACCCGCCCGCAACCACCACATCCTTCCCAAACTCCCCACCCAAAAAATCAATAACGAAGTCTTCATCCGGCGTCATTGAATACATGCAAGTCTGTTTTATCACCGGCCCGCTGGCTGTCTCAATCCGGCCCGGCATGAGTCGTTCAATCCATTCCGCGACCCGCCCAACCATTCCATCACCATCCATAGTCCAGTCCCTGGAATCGGGATCACAGGGCCAGCCGGCATGCAATGCCACCTTAATCAGTCCCGGAAACTCCATCGCCGGCGTTCCATACACATACGGCAAGCCGTAGCTGGCGAAAGTCGGAAACCCTGCCGCCGGCGACATTTCCGATTCGAATCCTTCTTTAATCTTCCAATACCAAATCAAAGTATGCAGGGGCTGAATAGGGAGATCCCGCCCTGTAACCATTTTAACTAATTTGTGTGTCCAGGCGCCAGCCGTGACCACAACCTTGGCGCCGTGAAAGATCCGGCCATCGGTGGTGGAGACGCGGATCCCAACGTCGGCGATTCGGTCAATGGCGACGACAACGGCGCGGTCCCTGATAACGGTGCCGAGGCGGAGGGCCAGGGATTGGAACATGGCGACGGCTTTGGTGGGCTTGATGATGCCCCCGAGGGGGGTGGAGAGAGCGATCCAGCCATCGGGGAGATGGAAAGCGCCGGTGATTTCGGTGGGATTGGAGTCGTAAATGGTGGCGGGGAGGGAATCCGGGGAGCAATTTCGGATAGCGGATTGGAGGCTGAGGCAGTGGGAGGGACCGAGATCGAGTTGGGTGGTGGGGGTGAGGACGCGGTAGCCGGCGGCGGATTGGGCGGCTTCCCAGAGGACAGCGGATTCGATAACCATTGGAGGGTAGTAGGGTTCGGGGTAAGTGGCTCGGATGGTGCGAGATTCGCCATGGGAGGAGCCGAGGAAGTGGAGGAGGTCGAATTGTTCGAGGAGGAGGACCTTTTTATTGAGTTTAGCGACTTCGTAGGCGGCACAGCTGCCCATTATGCCGGCGCCGATGATGATGATGTCGAATATGTCGGTAGGGATTTCCGCCATTGATGTGCTGTCAAGCTGTGTCCTTGCCGGTGAAGTGGGGTTGCGGTGGGTGCTAAAAGGGAAATGGTACGTGTGATTAGGAGTTCGTACTGGAAGATATTTTTGCCGGCGCCGATGATGATGATGTCGAATATGTCGGTAGGGATTTCCGCCATTGATGTGCTGTCAAGCTGTGTCCTTGCCGGTGAAGTGGGGTTGCGGTGGGTGCTAAAAGGGAAATGGTACGTGTGATTAGGAGTTCGTACTGGAAGATATTATGCGGATGACTGGATCCCAATTGGCCACGCACGCGAAACTCGTGTGGAATGAACCAAAATGTTAAAATTAGGTTGGGTTTATAAGGTGTTTTTCGTTGGATTTACATAAATATCATAGAATTATTATTTATTTACACTATTTATATATTATTTGAATGCCTAAATTATATAAAATATATATATATGAAAAATATATTTTATTTTAAATAAGTTAATTTGGGATCCGCATCTCCATCATCTATGGCGGCTCTTTCGTAGTGCTAAGGTTGTGATCATTATTTTCTCACCAATTAAAAAAAAATTACTGTTAAATTATTTTTTTAGCAGCTTTCACCAAAATTATTTTTTTTAATAATTATATAGTTATCTTTATAAAAAGTTATGATATTCTATCGAAGCTTCATAGAGTCTGCAATGTAATTTAATCGTTTTATAGGATTAACTTGTAAAACAGCTCATCTAATTTTCCAAGAAAAAATAATAAATATTAAGGCAAACGGTATTGATCCGAAAGCATTGGATAGCATAGGATGCCCTGCTCAATTAGTAATATAAGCGACAAATTGAAAATAAATATATATATATATATATATATATATATATATATATAAACAGCTCAAATCAATCATTAAAGACTTATAGTAGACTTATAATTGATTAAAATTTTATTTTATTTCATTACTTTTTTTACTTATTCAAATAATAAAAAATTTTGAATTCAGCAAGAATATGTAGAAAATTAATCTCTGAATCTTTACAGAAACAAGAACACAAACAAGAGTAGAGAATGTAAACAGAGAATATTATTATTATCGTTATGCTTCATATGATACATATGTTATAGAGTGTACCTGATACATAAAAGCGCTTAACACTAGATTGGCTACAGA